GATTGAACAGTTAGAGGCCTGTATTAGACATGAATGGGAGAGCATTCCTATTTCTAAACTTGAGAAACTGGTCTCCTCTGTCCCCAGACGTCTGTTGAGTGTTGTAAGAAGAAGGGGGGATGCCACACAGTGGTAAAAATGGACTTGTCCCAACTTTTTTGGGATTTGTTGACGCCATGAAATTTGGAAACAACAGATTTTTCCCTTAAAATGATACATTCTCTCAGTTTAAACTTTTGATCTGTGATTTGTGTTCTATTCTGAATAAAATATTAGATGTTGGCACCTCCACATCATTGCATTCAGTTTTTATTCACAATTTGTTTAGTGTCCCACCTTTTTTGGAATCCGGTTTGAATTATTTTATTTATTAACCTTTGAATTTAACCAGGCAAATCCCATTGAGATCACAGCTCTCTTTTGCAAGGGAGGCCTGGGCCTGAAGGCATCCTGACATGACCAGAAGAACAAAAAATAAATCTAACCTTTCGAAATCTGGAAATGACAGATACAGATTATTGCCCTAGTGGGTAATTTTTATTATTGTTAATCTTCTCTCCAGCTTTCTGGAGCCCTGACGACCCCCACTTTGAAAAACACTGCTCTATACTACTAGTACAAATTGCTTTTTGAAAGTACAGATTCAAAGATGGATTACCTGCCTATTAAAAGTAGTTGTGGTCTGCTGGTTCCTCCTTCAGAGCGGACACCTCAGCAGACAGTTGTTTCTCACCAGAGAGCACCACTGACTGCCTCCAAACCAGCCTCCCCCTCATCCTCTGCAGCATCATCTTCAGGCTCATCCTCTGGGGCCACAACGTCACCAGCACTGAGGCAGATATTGTGGAGAATGCAGCATGCTATTATGACCTGCAATGCGGAATTTAAAAAAATATTATTGTACTATAGCACTGACCGTCAGGGCCACTCAGAGGCTTGATCCAGATGTGACAGCCGTTGATCGCACCTGCTGCTTTCACAAAGGCACTGTGGCATGTCAGCCCTGCAAACCCACAGGACATTACCTCCAGGTCCTCTGGGTTTACGTTAGTTGTTGTAAACACTCAAAACACATGTTGGTTTAGTGCTTGCCTAACCTAAACATTTAAGGCGTAAACATTTTTAATAATCACATCAAAAGTAAAAACACCAGTGCTGTCACGTGAGCTCCAGCATTTATTTATTTCTTTTACTTTTGCTCTACCTTAGTCTATTTTTTTCAGAGATGGTCATCCTATAAACTAAAGTGAAAATGAAAAATAAAAATGTAGATTTGGGTTC